TTCTTAGGTGGTGCTAGTGGTAAAGAACCCGCCTGCCAATGCTAGAGACATAAGAGACTTGGGTTTGATCCCTAGGTCAGGAAGATCCCCTGGAGGAGGAAAGGGCAACCCACTCCAGTATTCTTGCCTGGAGAATTCCATGGACAGAGGAGCTTGGCAGGCTACAGTCCATGGGGTTGCAAAAGAGTCGGACACAACTTAATGATGAAAGAACAGCAACAATAACATGGATATAGATGTAAATGAATATACATATACATGTAGATACGAAGAATGAGCTGTGTGTATACCCATGGTTTTTTTCCTGTATAGTAGATAATTTTTTTCCCCTTTTTGCTCACCTGGTTTATTTTCTATAATGAGTACCATTAAAAAAGAAATAAAAGACACAAAAATAAGATTTGCATACTTTTTCCCAGGGGCCCTTTATAGCTTTGAATTTGTCCTTCTCACTAAAGTCACAGGCAAGGGCTCTTTGACCTGGGTAGTTGAGAGCAGCCTCCTCTGCCTGGAACATAGTTATCCTTCCCAGCAGCAAGGCCACTCACCCATACCCATACCACACTATTATGATCAGGCCAGATGGAACTGTCTGCTTACTGAGGTCTAGCCATGGTCACTGTGCCAGAGAAACAGTGCCCTCATCCAACGTTCTAAAAAAGAGGAGCTCATTCCCAGCATCAGGGGGGAGCTGGGGAGGCCCTGTGCAGTGTCTGCAGCCATTTTCAGTCTTGAGAGACTCTTCCCTTCTCTCTGTGATGACAGATGCTATGTTTTCCCAAGAGAAGCCCTGCTTCTGAGGGACGGGTCCATGGCTGGCTTTCTCCTTGCAGCTGGTGCAGAGCAGGCATTCTAGGGGACAGGATGGATGAAGGGCCCCCCCTTCCATTTCTTTCTTCTTGGTTTCTCTGTCCCATCCCCTGTTCCCAGGGCACATGTCCAGAGGATGGCATGACATCCTTTGGCATCTGGGATCAGCTGGTCAAATCCCTCATCACATTACGTACAGGAGTCCCCTGTGAAGCCCGTGGAGCAGTCTGCTAAGCTGTTGTAACCATCTGCTTTCTCATTTCATTCTCCTCTCTCTTCCACCCCTCCTCTATTCCCCCATCCCCTCTCCCTGGTTTGTTGTCCACTCTAGTTTCCTCTGTGCCTTGGATGGAAGGACTTGGATCACCATGCCTTGGAGATGACTATCAGCATTGCTGGGACATGTCAAACGGCCCGAATCTCTTCTCTACTCCCATTGATTATGTCCACAGTCCACCTCCATGCATAAGGAGAGTCCCAACCAGAGAAGGGGAAAGTGATCAGACTTTCCTTCTTCCATTTTTATCCAGAGAAGGTCTTAGAACCCTGGGAGCATGGCAGTGGGGAAACAGAAAGTTGAGCACCGACTTCCTGTCTCTCATCACTGTAGTGACTTTTGGTTGCTCTGGACCTGACCCAAAGCTCCTCCTCTGTTTGGAAGAGCAGGGATCTCCTGAGTGTCCAGGAGAACAGCCCTCTTTCCTGGCTGGAAAGTGAGGCTGGGGCACTTGCCTTCTGCTTGGTCTTTTCTCTTCCTCTTTTCTCCTCTGGGCTGTTAGGCCAGGAGAGACTTAGGGCACCCAGGGAGACTTTAGGAAATACCTGCAGATAAGCATAATTAGAGGAAGGTAGCTCGTGATCCGCATCTTTCCTGCAAAATGAGAAATGAAACTCCTTATGGCTGAGGCTTTTACAGAAATTGTCTCTGAAACCCCAGAGAGCCCACAAAATTGTGGTTGCTTCTTGCCCAGCTTCCTCATGCTGGATCAGCCTTTTGTCTAGCGATCAGCAGAACATCTACCTGCCGCTTCCATTTCCACCACTCTGAGTAGATGCCCCCAATCCCAGCCCCTTCTTCTGTACTGAGTCCTGTCCCATCTTGGCGAGGCTTCCAGACCCTTTCCTGGGGCCACTGGGAGGGCACATGGGCGTTCCATCGATCGCTCATGCTATGTACCAGCAGAGGTTTGAGGGAAATCAACTTTTCAACAGAAAAGGAAATGGTCAGACATGCCGTAGTGTTCCGTGGTAGCTGCTCTCTCTCAAGTGCCTCAGAAGGAGACCAGGACCCCAAGGGCACTTTCTACCAGGGTCTTGAGTAACCTGGATTCCTCTCCATCTCCAGGCCCTGGGGTGAGGATGTAGGGCCAGGAACCAGGAGCAGAAAGGCTGAGGGGACTCTGGGATTAGACTGGGGAACAAGCAGGAGAGCCCAGAAACAGAACATTCTCACTCCTGCTGAGCCCTGGTAGAACCAAGGCTCTTCAACTAGATGAGCAACTTTAAGAGAGTGGGCATGGTTATCACTGTTCAGAGGCTGGCAGGGAGTTAGCTAATGTCAAAGCTTAGAGCAGACAGTAGGGCAGGCCGGGATGCTATTTGGAGAGGGAGGAAGTGAAACAGAATGAAAGGGACACAATCCTGTGACTCAACTTCCTTCCCTGCACTTGGAAAGTATGGTGTGGAGTCCTCTTTGGGTTCCCTCAACTGGTCAGAGAAACAGCTTCCGTTTGACGCCTTCTCAGCCTGCAGAGGGAGCTGCAAGGGGCCTATAAGTGCAATGAACTGGTCAGACAGGGAGGTGGGATCCTCTCAAATATCAAAGGCATCAGAAGGCCCTGCAAGTAGAGTTATTTCCTTGGTCCAGATCATTTAACCTCCAACCTTGGTCCCTGACATCAACCTGTTCTCCAACTCCACTGGCTCAGAGTCAGCGAGGCCAGGTCAGCTTTCTAGTCCTGTGGCCAGAGTTGTAGGTATATTTGGATAAGATTTAAAATCACTCTTGACTCATGCTTTTACAATTGGAGGCTGTAGAAAAATGCAGTGGCTTCCAAGAGAGAAATTCCACTCCACGGTCTGGAATTTCAGAGTTGAGTCATGATTAGCCATCACCTATTCCATTCATTTCTCTTTCATGCATCCATCCGTCTTCCACCCACCCATCCATCCATCTACCCACCTTTCATACATCCATTTTCTGTCCATCCATCCAACCATCCATCCATCTGATTATCTGAACTTCCTTCTTTTTTTCTTTCTCTTCCTGTCTTCTCTCCTCTCTTTTCTATCTTCCAGGGAATATTTGTTTAGAATATGTTTTGTACCAGGTTTCTCAGATTTGTCAGACCTCTTCAAAGTATGAGAGGCTTCCCAGAAGAAAACTTAGTCCCTCAGAGAGGGGCACCGAATCAGCCGCTCTCTGTCCTGAGCATCTCCCATGAATGAAAGAACAGCTCCTGGTCTGATGTTGCTGATCCTCCCCACTTTGTCTGAGACCCTCATGAGTGCAGGAAGCAGAGAGGAGAACCCCACTCTTTCATGTACTTTTGAATCTCAAGTCCCATTTTACAAAGGGATACTGGCTTCCCAGGTGGCGCTAGTGGTAAAGAACCTGTCCACCAATGCAGGAGACTTAAGAGAGGCTGGTTCAATCCCTAGATCAAGAAGATCCCCTGGAGGAGGACTTAGCAACCCACTCCAGTATCCTTGCCTGGAGAATCCCGTGGGCAAAGGAGCCTGGCAGGCTACAGTCCATAGGGTCACACAGAGTCGGACATGCCTGAAGCGAGTTGGCACGTATCACCTAACACGCCTTAACAACAGAAAGTTGAACATTTTATTGCAGTGGTCTCCTTACTGGTCTCCCTGCTTCCAGACCCCCCCTCCCCCCACCCTGATCTCTGCCTCTTACCATAGAGTGATCTTTCTTCAATGTTCCTGTCCTTGTCTCTCTACTGCCTAAAGTCCTTCACTGGCTCCACATCATCCATAAGCCAGAGTTAAAGCTCCTTAACATGACCCAAAAGGGTCCTTATGATCTGACCCCAAGTGCCCCCTTAGCCCATGCCCTCCCCACTCTAGTCATATACTTTACACTCTAACAGTGCCAAACCACTTACGACTCACCAGGCACACCATACTTCCGAATATGCTAGTCTCTCTACTTGGAACTTCTTACCATTACTCCAGTCTCTGTACTTCCTTTGATTTGTGCATATTCTTCTATTAGTAAGTTTATCACCCTGTATGTGCAAGCATGTTCAGTTGTGTACGACTCTTTGTGACCCTATGGAGCATAGCCCATCAGGCTCCTCTGTCCATGGGATTCTCCAGACAAGAATACTGGAGTGGGTTGCCATGCCTTCCTCCTGGGGATCTCCCTGACCCAGTGATCAACCCGCATCTCTGGTGTCTCTTGCATTGCAGGCAGATTCTTTACCACTGAGCCACAGGGGAAGTATTGTCATTTATTTGTTCGGGTCTTTCTTTTCTGGCTTCTCTGGTGGCAGAGACAGTAATGAATCTGCCTGCAGTGCAGGAGACTGGGGTTTGATCTCTGCATCAGGAAGATCCCTGGAGAAGGGAATGGCAACCCTCTTCAGTGCTCTTGCCAGGAGAATTCCATGGACAGAGGAGCCTGGTGGCCTACAGTTTGTGGGGTCCCAAAGGGTCGGACATGACTGAGCAACTGACACTTTCACTTTCTTTTCTACTAGACAGAATCGAAGGGAAACAACTCAGAGAGGAAGGAGAAAAAGGACACAGGATGAAGATGGGTGAACTGTTTGAGTGTAAGGGCCATGATTATTCAGCTTTGTGGCTCAGTCCCGGTCCAGTGCCTGGTACATCGAAGGCACTCAACATGTATTTGTGAGGTGAAAGGATGGCTGGCTGGATGATGGATGAGAGCTGTCTTATAAGAGAGAAAGCTTAGTCTGAGGACAAGATGGTTAAAATGTCCATGTAACAGATACCCAGAGAAAATGATGGCCTCTTCTTGCGAAGTCAGACTTCTGAGGAGCAGACCGCGCTGTAGCCTAGGAGAGGCAAGGTACCTAAGCCAGGAATGGGGAACTTTGGGATGACATAACGAACTCTGGGGGGTCACTTCCCTTTTCGTCTGGATAAAAGGTCTTTGGGGAGACAGCTGGCTGGGAGCACCTGTCCCACCAGGGTGAGCGTGCAGGATGAAGACTGCCAATAGCGAGGTCCTCGATGCGCACTTCACGGTGGACAAACAGAACGTCTCCCTTTGGCCTCAAGGCAAGCATCAGCCTCTGCTCAGAGCCTGCTCAGGGCTCTGTGGGCAAACTTGCAGTTGGCTGCTCCTTCACCAAACGCTCTCCTCTGCTTCCTGCAGACCCTCCTCCCAAGACATGTCCGTCCCAGGTTCTGGGGAGACTCCTCACGGTCCGCGCTGTGGTCGTCTTCCTGACGCTGGTCATGGTCACCTCTGTCCTGCTGCAGGCCATTCTCTGTAAGTCTCCAGCTTAGACCTGGGCTCAGTCTTTCCCCAGGGCCAGGGGTCCTTCCTCTCTCTGATGGGCTCTCCTGCCTCTGGCTTTTTCATGTATCTTGTTTCCTCCTCTTTCCATGTGCAGTCAGAGAGTTGGCAGTAAGACCAGCTGCTTCTCCTTCCTTTCCAATTCCGGGGAGATTTTCCTCACTAGGATCAGCATGCCTGTGCTCAAAGGTATGCTTTTTCGTTCCTAGGAAAAGTTCACCCCATCTTCATCCTGGGTCACTTTTCTCCTTCCTCTCCGAGCTCTGTGTCCCTTTGATTCAGAGCCTTGTGGTGAATCCCCAACAGTGAGTATAATGATTGCTGACCCCATGAGGGGCGGGGTCCCAACTGTAACTTCATCCCCAACTGACTGGGCCAGGTTAGGGTTAGAGAACATCTCCCCCCACCCCACAGGACCCTTTCTTGCTGTTTTCACTCTCCTGCTCCCACAAAGATCATGTCAAGGGAGATGCCCTACTTCTCCACTGGATGTGTGACTTATCTTTCTTCTGCTGGTAGAAGCTTCTTCCTCTCATTCGGCCTCCAGAAAGCAGACAGAGGGAACGTCTGTCTTCTCCCTTCAAGGCCCCAGCACACATTTGGACTTGGACTTAGAGGCTCTGAGTAGACTCTCCCCTGCTTTGAGTCCACTGGTATACTTTTGGTTTCTTCTGTGGCCTGAGCCTGTAGCCTGAGCAGACAGTAACAGCGGGTAGGACAAGGGAAGAGGAGAAGTGGTTTCATAATTCTCCCTTCTCGTTTTCCTCTGGAGAAGAAATCACCTCCAGACAAGAAGTCTTCATGGCTGGCCTCTCCGACGGCCATGAGGGACCTATGGGCAGTCATGGGGGGGACGGTGCTTCCCTAGCTGATGGGCTCTGTGGGGGTCTCTGGAAAGAGAGGGCTGGGAGTCAAGTGATGGGGCCCAGCGTGACGTGAGAAGGATGACGGGGTGACTGGAGGCATCTCATTACCAAATGTGCCTTGAACACGCAAAGGAAATATAGGACTGGATTCTAATCCCCTCTTCTGCTTACCTATGAGAGCCTCAGACAGAGATCCCGTGATTTACCAATCTTTGCATGATCTGCATCTGCCAGAGTCCCTGGCACATGGAAGGTGTCCATCCCATGATTGTTGAATGAATACATTGTGACTGAATAGAGGGTAGGCAGCTGCTCCTTGGGCTGAGTCCTTGGGAAGCTTGAGCCCATACCTTCCCTCCCCTTCCTTTCGTTACCCTGGGAACACCCCACTCCAGTCCCTGAGGGTCCCTGCAGCTGACCTCTTGACTTCCTCAAATTCAGATCCCTGGTTCATGGGCACAATATCAGATGTCAAGACCAATGCCCAGTTGCTGAAAGCTCGTGTGGACAACATCAGCTCCCTGAGTTCTGAGATCAAGAGGAACAGAGGTGGCCTGGTGGCAGTGGGCATTCAGGTCCAGATGGTGAATGCCAGTTTGGATCGCATAAGTTCTCAGATCCGGAGGTTGGAAACAGGCTTGAAGGAAGCCAGTACACAGCTGCAGGTGTTAACAAGTAGTTGGAAAGCAGTCGATGAGTTAAATGCCCAAATCCCAGAGCTAAAACAAGATTTGGATAAAGCCAGTGCTTTAAATGCAAAGGTCCGGGAACTCCAGAGCGGTTTGGAGAGTATCAGCAAATTGCTTCAACAGCAAAGTAAGTGACCCAGAAAAGAGTATTGCAAGTTGGCCAGTGGCCCATGGGACCTTATTAATTTCAGGCATGATGCCATTGAGCGGGTGTGTGTGGAGGAAAGCATGGGCATGGCTGGAAAGTTAAGAAGAGAGGGCTCAGCACTGGAGTTGGGGAGGACTTGGGGGCTGTTCAGGAGAGAAGGGACCAGGGACCAGCCGGGGCTCCCACACCAAGCCACAGAATATGAAGACCTAGGGAGTCTCTCTGTCTGGGTCCAAACCTCACCATTCTCCACCAGCTCCTGCCTAGGGCTCAGGGGCTCAGCCACCTGTGATGGTCAATGGAGAGACGGGTTCTTGATCCATCCTCTCTCACTCTCCCCTCTCTGAGTCCAGAGACTCTACCAATCTCAGACTTTCAGGATCTGAGGGACTGTCCCCAAGCTCCTACACAAGGACCAACGGACCCCAGAGCCCAGCCCCATTCACTGTATTTCTGGGATCCTGCTCAAATACTCCCACCCAGCCAGCACCAGAGAAAGCAGGAACACCAGAGTTCACACTTCACCCTTGTTCCCAGATGACATTCTCCAGGTGGTTTCTCAAGGCTGGAAGTACTTCAGGGGGCACTTCTATTACTTTTCTCAAATCCCGAAGACCTGGTACAGTGCCCAGCAGATCTGTATATCCAGGAACTCCCACCTGACCTCGGTGACCTCAGAAAGTGAACAGGTGAGTGCTGTCCCGTGGGCACTAGGAAGGGGGTATATTGGTAGCTATATCAGACATAATGGGCAATATGATGCTTCATTGACAAATATTCCCAAATATCAGCAATTCTTCACAATCACTTCTCACTTACACACTCCATGTCCACCAAGGGCCAGCAAGGGGTTTTGCTCATTGTGGCTACTTAAGGGATTAGGCCAGAGGAGATTTCGTATCAACACACGTTTCCACAATTGCTGAGGTGAGAAAAGGGAACATGATACACGTTAGCCCTTAAAGCCTGGAAACAACACATTTCATTGGCCAAACACACGATGCAGTATTTGTAGCTTCAAAGAGGGCAGGATAGTGCAGCCTTTCCATGTGCCCAGAAAAATAGAAATATTTGTGAATAGCCTTAATGACACCATCTAGCCCAAGAAATCCTCTACCTGGTGAGACAGAATATTAAACAAGATCCTTTCATCTTAAGTGGGCCAGCAGAGCGGGTCAGAGTCAGAGTCAGGATAGAGTCCCAACCCTGTGTCTGCGGGTGCAGGGGCTGTGGCCGAGGATGGGTGAAGATGCCCAGAGAGACAGGCGCTCTGACGCCTCGTCTCTGCTTACTGTCTTCCTGCAGGAGTTTCTCTACAGGACGGCAGGCGGACTTCCCTACTGGATCGGCCTGACCAAGGCAGGGAGCGAGGGGGACTGGCACTGGGTGGACGGCACTCCGTACAACAAGGTCCAGAGTGAGAAGTAAGTCCTCAGAACCCGCTGTCCCAGGCTGACTTTCTTGGGCTGGGTCCGGGGCACGAAGAGTGGGGGGAGAGTCCCACTGACCCCAGGGTTTGCCTTTCTTCCTGTCCTTGATCAGCAGGAGCATTGACCAGAGATCTAGCTAATCTCTGCCACTGATTGGCTGTGGAACTGGGGACAAATCCACGGCTTCTCCATGCCCTCTGGGGTTTGGCAGCATGGCCGTCCACTCAGCCTTGGCAGGGACCTCATTCTAAATCTATGTCTCTGCACTGTGGGTTCCTCTAGGGCCTTGAGGGTAGCGGGCTGGTGTGGCCCTAAGCTGGGGGAGATTGCAGGCTCAGAGGTTGACGGATGACTGGTCCTCTTCCTCTCAGGCATGAAAAAACTTGCAACCCTACCACCCCAGCCCAAAACTGGGGTTGAAGTCTCTCATTCACTCAGTTGAAATGCATTTTGCTTTCTTTTTTCCTTCGGTAGGTTCTGGATTCCAGGCGAGCCCAACAACTATGGGAACAACGAACACTGTGTTAACCTAAAGACGTCCGCACTGCGGTCATGGAATGATGCCTCCTGTGACAATACATTTCTTTTCATCTGTAAGCGATCCTATAAACCATCAGAACCATGACCAGACTGGCCCCTGTGCTAGCAGTTTAAGCTCCAATGCTCATTGAATTCAAGGAAATGCTCCTCTCTCCCTTGTCCTCCAAGGTGATTTTGAACCTTAATTTTTCATGCTTTAAAATTGTCCTGAAGGCATCCCAGAGTCCATCTGCCTTGGCTGGGAATTCTCTGGCCTCACAGTGGATATCCTTTCCCAGAGTCCACCTGCCTTGGCTGGGAATTTTCTGGCCTCATAGTGGATATCCTTTCCACTCCAGCTTCAAAGGCAGATGAAATGGAAAGGATATCTTGGGTTGAAATGCGGAGGTGAGGGTAGAGAGAATGAGAAGTTTGCACTGCCCCAGTGAGATGGACCAAGATACACCATCTGGGGCAGCACCCTGGGGGGTCCATCCCTTTGGAGAAGCCTCAGCTTTACTGGGTGAAATTTGTGTACGACCGTCCCAGCGATTTTCCGGAGACTGAGACTCCGGGCATTTCCAGCTGATGCCCCAGAATCCCCAGTTGCCTTCCTAAGAGTTCTCAGTGGGAAGAGCGCTCTTGGGAGGCCCTGTTCATGCCATGTACCCATGGCCCCCGTCATCCTTATCCTCCAAGACCCGAGCCCCTTCCTCCCTGGGACAGTCTTGACTGGTTCAGGTCAGGGGCTGAATGGAAATGTGTCTCTGCAGACCTAGACCAGTATCCATGTGCTTCTCCCTACCCATCACTTGCTGGGTGCTCCTCCCCGGGTCCCAGTCTGTCTGCCTTGCTCCCTGGGCCTCCTCTTTCTTCTGCATCTCCTCTCTCCCCAGGGGTCAGGGGAAGCGCCTTCAGTGGAGAGGGCACCCCAGCTTCATTAGAATAAAATGCTGCCTGGGAACATTTTCTTCCTGGGGGTACAGGTGGATGTGTGGGGTGGAGGGAACATTTGCTCCACTGGATATGAAGTTCTGGAGTGTCCTCAGGAAACAGTTAGGGGTTCAAATAACAGTCAGAAAGTCCCAGTCCTGGAAATGCCATAAAACATGAGCAGTACTTATCTTTCGTTTTTACTGAAATGCAGCCGGATAGGACTGCAGGGTCTGGCGTGTCACCACCCTCTGGATGGTCTTTCTTCTTAGACATTCGCAGACCAGCTTCTGTTCTCTGGCTTTGCACTGGATGGGGAGATGCGTCAGGTCTCCCATTCTTCACAGAGACCCTGATCACAGCCATCAGGTCCAAATCGGCCATTCAGGGGCCGAAGCAGGGATCCAGGCTGCACCAGAGTGGAGCAGAGAGGAAGCAGAAAGGGGTGCTCTGTGGACGCCTGGCAGGCTCAGCAGAGCGGGGTCCTCGTTAGATGCCCTCTTTAGGGTCCTGGGCAGGGAGGATGTTTTTCTTCAGTGACTGTGACCAGCAGAGTGGTGTTCTGGTTGTGAAGAGGCTGAAGTGGAGGGATATTAGGAGGAAGCTTGAAGGAACAGGGGGCAAATGGGCTTTTAAAAAATGTGGTGATGATGAGGAATGAACAGTCAGTGATGGGGCTCATATGAGAGCATTTGCCCAAAGCTCCAGGGACGTCTGAAGTCTGGGGGGTGGGGGCACATCAGGGAAGTGAAGACCGGCGATCACACAGGGTAGGCTGTGCGGGCCCGGAAGGTATCTGCATCTTCTCTAAGAAGTACTTGGCTGTCCTTACTCTTCATAATTTGAAGTGGCAAATTATGGGAGAATATTACTTCTTCCCAGTGTCAACTACCTGCTCACAGCACTAGCTGACGGAGAAATGAAATACAAGTTGTAGGCTCAGAGCTGCCTCTAGGGAACTATCCCATTGTGTTTCCAAACCTGACTCTGCTCTCCGTCCTACTGTCATGCCTGACCTGTTAGTCACCATGTCTGGGCTGCCATGTTTTGTGTGTTATTTTTAATTAAAAATTTTTTAAAATTATTTCCTGGATGATTACTTTTTATTCACTTTTTGATGTGGTTTTATTTCATTTTTTAATTAATTTATTTTAATTGGAGGATAATTACTTTACAATATCATGATGGTTTTTGCCATACATCAACAAGAATCAGCGATGGGTGCACATGTGTCCCCCATCCTGAACGCCCGTCCCACATCGCTCCCCACCCTACCCCTCTTGGTTATCCCAGAGCACTGGTTTTGAGTGCCTTGCTACATGCGTTGAACCTGCACTGGTCATCTATTTTACAAATGGTAATACACATGTTTTATTTATTTGTTTGCTTTGGGCAGTGCTGGGTCTTTGTTGCTGCACACAGGCTTTCTCTAGGTGAGCGGGGCCTACTCTCTGACTGTGGTGAGTGGGCTTCTCACTCCGTGGCTTCTCTTTTTGCGGAGCATGGGTTCTAGGCCCACTGTGCTGTGCTGTGCTTAGTCGCTCAGTCATAGACTGTATGACCCCACGGATTGTAACCTGCCAGGCTCCTCTGTCCATGGGGATTCTCCAGGCAAGAACACTAGAGTAGGCTGCCATGCCCTCCTCCAGGGGATCTTCCCACCCCAGGGATCGAACCCAGGTCTTCTGCATTGCAGTCAGATTCTTTACCATCTGAGCTACCAGGGAAACCCAAGAATACTAGAGTGGGTAGTCTATCTCTTCTCCAGGGGATCTTCCCAACCCAGGAATTGAACTGGGGTCTCCTGCACTGCAGGCAGATTCTTTACCAGCTGAGCTACCAGGGAAGCCCAAGGCTTCAGTGTTTGCCGAGTACGGGCTTAGTTGCTCTGCAGCATGTGGAATCTTCCCAGACCAGGGATTGGACCCGTGTGCCCTGCATTGGCAGGCAGATTCTCAACCACTGGATCACCAAGTAAGTTCCTGAGCTGCTGTGTTGAGTAGCGTGTGACCCTGCCCCACACTCCAGCTTTCTCCCCAAGGTAGGCACTTGTCACTAGGGCAGTGGATTCAAAGGTTTGCATTGTAAGACCTAAAATTTCACTTATTGCCATGACATTTTTTGGGTCTTGCTGCTGCTGCTGCTAAGTCGCTTCAGTCGTGTCTGACTCTGTGCGACGTCATAGATGGCAGCCCACCAGGCTCCCCCGTTCCTGGGATTCTCCAGGCAAGAACACTGGAGTGGGTTGCCATTTCCTTCTCCAACGCGTGAAAGTGAAAAGTGAAAGTGAAGTTGCTGAGTTGTGTCCGACTCTTAGCGACCCCATGGACGGCAGCCTACCAAGATTCCTCTGTCCATGGGATTTTCTGGGCAAGAGTACTGGAGTGGGTTGCCACTTTTTGGGTCTTACAGGGCCCCCAAAGCCTAACTATGGGTTCCCCCACTCTCACCAGATGTGTTCCCTGACCTGGGCAGTTCCCTTGACTGGACCAGCTGATCTCCACCCAGTTTTCAACCTATTGGTTTCCTCTAACCTGCCAGTACAGAAATTATTCAAACAAGTCAGTCATATCCTCTTGCAGGAACCAGGGGCACCTTATCCTCTTGTTGCTGCAAAGCCTGTCTCCCACAACCCTTGCTGGTTCCCTCTGGTTTCAGGTGTAACACCCATGTGGCCTGGCATGGTATCCAGTGTCCTCCAGACTATGACTTTATGTGTGACTAATAAGATGCTGTGAGTCTTATGTGTCCAGAGTAAGATGCCATGGGTTTGGCCACCTTGTACTGTCTGGGGCAAGAAATGCCTCCCTCACTGCTATGGACTGATTGAACCCACTCCCTCACAATTCTTATGTTAAAATCCTAATCCCAATGGGATAATGTTAGGCGATGGAGCCTTTTGGAGGTAATTAAGTTATGACCAACCTAGATAGCATATTAAAAATCAGAGACATTACTTTACCAACAAAAGTCCATCTGGTCAAAGCTATGGTTTTTCCAGTGGTCATGTATGGATGTGAGAGTTGGACTGTGAGGAAAGCTGAGCGCCGATAAATTGATGCTTTTGAACTGTGGTGTTGGAGAAGACTCTTAAGAGTTCCTTGGACTGCAAGGAGATCCAACCAGTCCATCCTGAAAGAGATCAGTCCTGGTTGTTCATTGGAAGGACTGATGCTGAAGCTGAAACTCCAATACTTTGGCCACCTCATGCGAAGAGTTGACTCATTGGAAAAGACCCTGATGCTGGGAGGGATTGGGAGCAGGAGGAGAAGGGGACGACAGAGGATGAGATGGCTGGATGGCATCACCGACTCGATGGGCATGAGTTTGAGTAAACTCCAGGAGTTGGTAATGGACAGGGAGGCCTGGCGCGCTGCGATTCATGGGGTCGCAAAGAGTCGGAAACGACTGAGCGACCGAACTGACTGAAGTTACCAGAGTGAAGTCCTCACGATGTGATTTGTGCCCTTATAGGAAGAGACTGAGAGCTTGCCTCTCTCTGCTTTCTGCATTTACAGTAAGAAGGCTCTCTGCAAAAAAGAGAAAGAGAGCCCTCCCCAGGAACTGTGTCCACAGCATCCTGACCTTGGATTTCCCAGCCTCCAGAACTGGGAGAAAGAAATTTCTCTTGTGTAAGCCTCTTAGTTCATGATGTTTTTGTTTTAGCAGCCTGGTTTGACTGAGACACTCACCACTGGGGTAAATAAGAAGCAATCAGAACAAGGCTGGCAAGGACTCTCTGGCTGGTTCTGATGTGAAGGGAGGTGTGGGACTATCTGACCACTTTTCTAGGAAAGAATTTGAACCTGGAAACACCTGGGGATTGAAGCAGTTAACAAAGAGAAGTCAAGCTGGAAGGCCCTGAGTTAGAGAAAGGCTGGCGGGGTCACCACGGGGCAGCTGCAGAAACTCGGAATTCAGAGGCTGTGAGGCAGAGCGGAGGAGCACACAGAGAATATATCTTGCAGAGAAGAGAGAAAGGTGCAGAGGTGAGGGTAGGCGAGACACAGAGGGCCGAGCAGCAGAGTGAAGGCTGGAGAGCCTGGCTGCTGAGGATCCTGGCGCCACCTTAGCGGCAGCCAGCCCTCCTGACACTTCTGGGAGGGGCCTGCCACTCCCAGCTGATCACCCTGTGCTGCCAGGGGTTGATATGGAGGATCGAAAGCTTCTGGA